TGAACTCTAGCCCTTACAGGCTAATTCTCGCACCTGGTCTAGCCCATTTCTAATGATGTTTGTAAGCACCCCAAGGTGCGCTTACCGGAAAGATTCTAGCCTAAGTCCATCGTGGGTTGCAGCTGCCTGGGAGAGCTGAGCATGGCGTCTCTGCTCCAGCAGAGCTGTCGGGTCTCTCTGGGAGCAGAGCAGAGTCTGACCTCACTTCCTCTTCCGCCCAGAATTCTATTCTGTTTACTCCTCCCATCTATGTTCCAGCCATGAGGCCAAGCAGCTGGTTTATTATAACTTAACCAATGAAATCAACAGATTGATATATGACACTCCCACATCAGGGATGTAGCTCAGCTAGTGGGGTGCCCGTCTAGCAACTTGAATTGTTGAGTTTGTTCCCCTGCACAGATCTGGGACTGTAACCCTAGGCACATGCCTGTAACCCCAGCACTTGGAAATCGAGGCAGGAGAATCAGGAGTTGAAGGCCATCTTTGGCTACACAGTGAGTTTGAGTCCATTTTGGGCTGCTTGAAAACTTATCTCAAAAAAGAAAAGAACCCACTCATAAGAACATAACAACTATTACCAACGGTGTTTTAAGCACGTGAGCCTGATGAAGTCGCTGCTAGCTCTAGTCCTGTGACCTCCAAGAGGTTAATAAAGGACAGCCACTAAGTATGAAATGAGTTAAGTAACGTGACATGTACAGATTTTGCCATTTAATCTGTCTCTATAAACTAAGTGGGGCTATGGGCCATGATGCTTCTTGGCCCCTAAGCCTAGAAGATAGATTCTGTTTTCCTTTTTACCCCCAATGCAGTAGCAGATAGTATTGACTCCACACCCCAGATTCATCTCCCCTGAACACTTTCTGTTCCCACCACCTCCACAGATCCACCATCCCCTCTCAACCGGGGACCAAGTTCTCCACAAGAATTCTGCCCAGAGGGCTTTCTAAAGATGAAGCACATCATATTATTCTCCTAATTTAACTGCCCCCTCCCATTTATGTTTTTTCTTGATCTGGTATCTCCCTCCCTTTCCTTAATCCTCCCTCTTTGGTCACCTGTGTCCTGCCTGTTCGTCACTTCCAGCTGTGGCTTCCCCAGGGCCCTTGAACTTCTTGTTTCCCCAGTTTTGGGTACACTTCTCGTCAGTCTTCCAATCTGTTTACTTCTGTGTTTATTGATGCGTTAAGCTGTGTGGATGTGTTTGGGTATGTGCACACAAGTGCAGGTGCCTGCAGCACCCGGAGGCCTTGCCACGCCCTAGAGCAGGAATTCCAGGCAGTTGTGAGCTGCCGGACGTGGCGTCTAGGAGTCTAACTCAGGTCTTCTGAGCCACCCTCTCCCCAGCTCTGACTCTTTAAATTGTTTGTATCTTCAAATAAACGTGCAGAGATGTCTCCAACTCCTCTTTGACGGAGCCTCCCATCTCAGTATCCCTGCTTCCTACTGACTTTCTTATTCTTTTATTCTTTCTTTCCCTCTCTAGAAAGTAAGCTGTTAGGAGCAGCCTTGTTCTCTCTTACATCCTAGAATTATGTGTAGGAGAAAATGTTTGTCTAAAATGTTTGCAGAACATAAAAAATGGTCTGAACGCCAGAGTAAGGTCCTATCAGGCTTCAGAAGCGAATAATGGGAGATACAGTGGTCCCATTCCAGCCCGGGAACCAACTCCATGGGCTTGTATCCAAGGGCAGAGCATCTTGGCTTTTAGCACCCAAATGGCATGGGAATTCTGCTTTGTCACCTGTTTGGTTTTTTTAGGCAGGTCCCTTTCCCTCTCTGAGTCAGTTTTCTCAATTTGAACTGTGGCTTGGATCAGGGACAGCCCTTCGCATGTTGAGCTGTATAGTTTTGGAAGTGCTGGAACCACCAGTGTTAAATTACTCCCAATAAACTAGATCATGTTTCTTACTTGTCTGACACACCCATGCCTCCTCTTTCTCCCAGATGCCCTCTGACCTCTCTCCCCACACCCATCCCAGCTCCTGAGTCACCCTAGAGCAGGTAGGAAGGAGGTGACTTAGTTCTCTTTTAACTTAAAAAAAAAAAACTTTCAAATCTTTAGAGACGTCGAAAGGAAAGTATAAGAAACATTTATTTCTCACCTATATTTCCCAACATTACAGTTCTGTCATATTTTGCACTCTGTCTGCTTGTCTTTCTCCCCCCTTCGCTCTCTCCCTCTCTCTCTCTCACTCACACACACACACACTCACACACACTCACACACACACACACTCACACTCACACACACACACACACACACACTCACACACTCACACACACACACTCTCACACACACTCACACACACACACACTCACACACTCACACACACACACTGACTCAACCTCTATGTACCCGCTGTGACACTGCAATGTATACAATTTTAAGAATTATGAAATATTATTTAACAGCCCATAATCATGTTAAAATAATATTCCGCACTAAACCTCTTTGGGGGTTGAATGACCCCTTCACAGGGGTTGCCTAAGATCATAGGTAACCATGAATATTTACATTATGATTCATAATAATAGCAAAATTTCATTTATGACATAGCAATGGAAATAATTTTATGGCTGAGCATCACCACAACATGAGGAACTGGATTAAAGGGTGGTATCATGAGGAAGGCTGAGAGCCACTGTTCTAGGGTGACCACAGTCCTGGGGAGCAAGGCCAGGGCCTAGTGTCTGGCAGCTAGGCAAGCACTCACATTTAAGCTGTAGCCTCCAAGACTTCTTATCACTTTGAGACCAGGTTTCACTAACTTGCCTCAGCTGGCCTTGATTTTACTCTGGAGCTCTGGCTGGATTTGAACTTATAATCTTCCTGCCTTGGTTCCCCCCCCCCCCCAAGTAGTTGGGACCATAGTCCTGTGTCACCAGCCCCACCCAATGTTATCCTTTGGGGGAAGCTGTAAATGCAAGTATCTATTACATAAGGAGTGGCACTACTAGAAGGTGTGGCTTTGTTGGAGTAGGCGTGGCCTTGTTGGAGGAAGTGTGTCCCTTTATGGGCAGGCTTTGAGGCTGCCTACGCTCAGGTTATGCTCAGTGTGGCACACACACAGTTGCTTCCGCTAACCGTGGGTCAAGATGTAGAACTCTCAGCTCCTTCTCCAGAGTCATGTCTGCCCGCATGCTGCCGCGTCTCCTGCCAAGCTGATAATAGACTGAATCTCTTTAAACTGTAAGCTAGTCTCAGTTAAATGTTTTCCTTTGTAAGTGTTGCCTTGGCCATGGTATCTCTTCACAGCAATAGAAACCCTAACTAAGGAAATGGGCAACAGATTCAGCACAGAACATCCAGGACACCCAGGGAACTATGAAAGACGGAACCTAACAGGGTTGCTTTTCGTGTGTTTTCTGTCATTCCTCCCTCCACACTGGAGTGGCCCAGCTTGTGGCCCAGTTGCTCAGGGCCCAGATGTGCTCTCTCTTCCAAGTTCACACAGACAGGAAAACACTGAACTTTTATTGCTCTGATTGGCAGCTAAGGGCTGAAAGTCCTTCTGCCTGGCAAAAAGCCTTCTGGTTTCTTCACCTCCTTTCGCTCACGCTTCCATCGAGGGAAGTTCTCCGGACCCCCAGTTCCACCCTGCAGCTGTTCTTTTCGGCTGGCTCAGGCACGGGACTTGCAGGAAGGTTGCAGGAGGCTGCGTGGTGAAGACTTCTCTTCCCTGGGCTCCTGGCTTTAGCCTCCTCCTGAGAAAACGCGTGGTAGATCAAACCCTTCATTTCATAGAAAGCTTTCCAGTGTGCTCTCCTGACATCACTCTTAGATGCTCAGACTCTCCCAAATTTTCCCAGTGAAAAACCCCTTTAAGCTGGTTATTATATCCAGGTCCCAAGCGAGGAAGGGTTACTTGGGAGACAACACTTGAGAGCTTTTCTCCCATTTTAACCTTGTACTTGCTACAAGTAGTACAAGGTAGTACACGTAGTGCTGGAATTCATCTTTTCTCCGAAGAGATTTGGTCTCTTTTGTTGAGGAATGTATTTAGAAGCCAAGCAATGAAGCTATCTGTTAAGTATTTTTCTCTCTGACAAACCTCTCCGCCGAGGTAATAAACCAATCAGACAAAAATCAAACTGAATTACAAGAAACCCAGGTTTAATGGATGCCAGTGCTTCCGGGTCCCCCCTCCTCAGAAAACACGGAGTGGGGGAAGGAGAACCGGAAAGGCCGTGGAAAACTGGGAGACCACATGTTTGTTCGGGGGGGGGGGGGGGGGGGAGGGCAGTTTAAATAGCCTGTGGGAGTGGTTTTCACCCTCCCTGGGGAGGGGTCACCATTTGGCAGGCTTTCTTGGAGGTGGAGTCCGGAGGAAAGCCACTCCAGAGAAGGGGCTTTGAAGCCCGGCGACGGTGGCGCACGCCTTTAATCCCAGCACTTGGGAGGCAGAGGCAGGTGGATCTCTGTGAGTTCGAGACCAGCTCTGGTCGACAGAACTAGTTCCAGGACAGGCTCCAAAACCACAGAGAAACCCTGTCTCAAAAAAAAAAAAAAAAAAAAAGAAGAGGCTTTGACCTCCAGCCAAACGTTCTAGACTCTTTGGATATATATGGATACTAGGGGGCTGGCGTGACCCTTCCAACCAAACACTCTCTGGTCATTTTTACTCACCTGTCACTGGTTGAAGGAGATGTGAAAAAGCAGAAGCAAGGACACACACATGTACATGTATATGTATGTATATATGCATATCTGTATGTATGTGTGTATGTATGCATGCATATATGTATGTATGTGTGCACTGTTATCTGCACTGAATCCATGCCATCAAGTTTTTCCTTATTGTATCCATTTTTTATTTGCCTCCTCCTCTCCTCCCCTGATCCCCAAAAGTGTCATTGTATTTTCTCTGTGCTGTCCTCCATCACAACAAAGTGTTTACCGAGCCCCGGTGCCAGCCAGCACTGCAGCTCCAGCAAGGCCACTCGGGGGAAGCCAAGGTTTATTTTTAGCTCCTCCTGTCCTTAATCACAATGCCCTGTTTAAAAGTCATGCGCGATGATTCTTGTGTGACTGGGTTTATAGATACGCAGATTTTAGGCTGTTTATTGAATTTTAATGTTTACTTCTACTTTTTGTGTTAATATTATTTAAAAATTTTGAGTTTATAGAGTATTTATAGTCCTCCCAAGTTCAAATGAAGGCGGGCGGGGTGTGATGATGTACGCCTTTAATCTCAGCACTTGGGAAACAGAGCCAGGTGGATCTGTGAGCTCCAGGCCAGCCTGGTCTATGGAGCAAGTCCTAGGCCAGTAAGTGCTAGGGAGGCCCTATTTAGAAACCAGCCAGTCTACCAGCCAAACAACCAAATAAGCAAACAAACAACAAACCTCCAAACTGTCTGAAAAGGAGATTTCAGAGAAGCCTAGTGTACCTCTTCTGCCTATAACCAAACCCCTTCCCTTCTTCCTTAACTTTCCATTGCTTTCCCACTCAAGGGCGGCTGAATGCAGGGCTGGAGAAATGGCTCCAGGGTTAAGAAGACCGGCTACTCTTGAAGAGGATCAGGGAGAGATTCCCAGCACCCACATGGCTTCTCACAACTGTCTGCAACTCCAGTTCCAGGACATCTGATTCTGTCTTCTAACGGCCATAGGTTCATGTACGCGAATGATGTACATGCATATAATCACACACACACACACACACACACGCACACACGCACACATGCACACAAACACAAATAAATATTTAAAAGTAATTGAGGGACATTTAATTGTGGGCTTATGTATTCCATACTTTCTTACCAAAAAAAAAAGTGACAAATATATACGCAGAAGAAACAGCTTTAAAATAAGTATTTACTTGTATTAGAAAAAATGTTAACTGTTCTAGTATAGCAAACTTATCCTTATAGACAACCCTTAATGTACACGAAGTGTTATAGTGTTTCTCAACCAGGTTGAGTTTCTTTCGCTTTGAGGCATTTCCTGGCTAGCGTTCATCTATTAATAAAGAACGCCAGAGATTGTGGTGGCAGGATACCATCTGCTTTCCACCGCAGGAAACCCCTCCTTCTCGTGTCGCTTCCTTCCTGGGCGTTTAAAAGCAAAAGATACAATTTACATTCATTCTAAAATCTAATCTGTGCAGACACACTGATTCCAAATTAAAACCCATAATCGATCTATCTATCTATCTATCTATCTATCTATCTATCTATCTATCTACCATCTATCTGTCTATCTACCTACCTATCATCTATCTGCATACCATCTATTTATTATCTGTCTGTCTGTCTGACTCATTGTCTATCTACCTACCTATTATCTATCTACACACCTATCTATCATCTATCTACCTATCTATCATCTATCTATCTACATATATATCTTTCAACTATCTATCTATCATCTATCTAAGCATGTATAAATTTCTGTAGAAAATAAAAACATGGAAAAAATTTGGGCAGTTTCACCACAGATAACTAGAATTTTCTAAACTTTGTGGCGTGAGCACAGAAAGTGAGATCGAGTTTCCCCCTCTTCCTCCTGTCCCTCCTTCCGTGCCCCCCACCATTCCTTCTTGTAACAAGGTCTTGTTTTGCAGCCTCGGTTGGCCTTGCCTCTAGCTCCTCTGTCACTGTGCCCTAACAGAGCACTAATATTATTTGTGTGTGCACATGTGGATATACGCCTGTCTGTGGAGACTGGTGTTAGGTCTCAGTTTCTCTCCACCTTGTTGCTTTTGGAAAGACACATTTTATTTATTTGTCTTTAGAATTAAATTTGTTTATTTTGTGTTTGGGGTGGCGGGGGTGGGTGCACATGCTATGGCTCGTTTGTGGGGAGTCAGAGGACAACTCGAAGTTGATATTTATCTCCTGCCACTGTGTGTGTCCATGGCACTGAACCCCAATCTTCAGGCTGGAAGGCAAGTACCAAAACCATCTCACTGGCCCTATTTTATTTGTGTGTGTGTGTGTGTTGGGGGAGATGGAGTGGACATTTGACCAGAAGAGGGCATCAAATCTCAGAGCTGGAGTTATAGACATTTTACAGGGTGCTTAGCTATTATAGGTGCTGGTTTGGAATCATGATTGTGCAGCAAGTGCTTTTAAGCACGGAGCCATCTCTCCATCCCCATTTCTTGTTTCGAGAGTGTCTAATTGGATGAAGAGAGCTTCCCCAGCCAGTTAGACTAGCTGGCCAGCAAGCCCCAGGGATCTTCTTGTTTCAGATTCCAGGAGTTGTGTGCTGCTTGCTTTGCTTTGCTTCCTTACCTGGGTTCTGGGATCTAACTCAGGTTCTCAGCAAGGGCTTTACTGACTGAGCCATCTCCATCCCCTTTCCTTCCCCTTCCCTTTCCTGCCTTGCAACCAGGTCTCATTTTGTGGGCTAGGATGACCTTGAAGTCAGGATTCTTGGCCTTAACCTCCGCGTTTCTGTGTTCTGAGCAGGTATTACTTTCATTGTCAAAGACGAGGCATGCTAATTTTTAAAAGCTGTTTAATCCCCATAGTCTATATAAAGTGTGAGTGTAAAGGAATATCCTAAAAATTTTGTTTCAAGTCCACGAACATGAGAAAAGCCTTTGAAGATCAGAACTAGTACAATGCACGGGCACATGGGGGCGCTGTGACCAAGGTTTAGAACTACAAAAACATGCATTAAGGTTTTCAAACTTTAGAACTTCTATCCTAGACATTTCTGTAGTCTCATTGTATCCTCAGACAACTCTATAGGGCAATTATCCAATTACAGGGAAGACCCTCAAAGCCATGCAGCCACTTCAACTGTTTTTGAAATAATTTATTTTACTTATGAGGCCTCTGTCTCTCTCTCTCTCTCTCTCTCTCTCTCTCTCTCTCTCTCTCTCTCTCTCTCTCTCTTTTCTGAGACAAGGTCTCTCTATGTCACCCGGTCTGGCCTGAAACTTGATATAGTCCAGGCTGGTTTTGAACTCACAGAGATCTGCTTCCCAAGGACTGGGATTATAGGTGTGTGGCACCACACTTGGCCTTTCTTTTCTTTTTTTTAATTGTGTGTGTTAGTTTGGCTGTGTGTGGGTATATGCTTGCATATGAAGGTGTTCTTGGAGACCCAAAAATCTCCTTGGAGCTGGAGTTACAGATGTGAGCTGCCTGAGGAGGGTATTGGGAATTGAACTCAGGACCTCTTCAGGAGCAGTATGCACCCTTAACCATGGATCCATCCGTCTTTTCTATTGCCATGAAAAGACACCATGACCGCAGCAACTCTTATAAGGAAAACGTTTAGTTGAGGTGATTCGCTTACAGTTTCCGAGATTCAGGCAATTATGATCATGGTGGGGAGCATGGTGGCCTGCAGGTAGACGTGGTGCTGGAGAGGTAGCTGAGATTTCTACATCTTGCAGGCAACAGGAAGTTGGGTGAGATACTGGGCAATATTTTGAGCATAGGAAACCTCAAAGCCTGCCCCCTCAGTGACACATTTCCTCCAACAAGGCCATACCCAGTCCAAAGAAGCTACAGCTCCTAAGAGTGTCAATTCCTGTGAGCTTATGGGGGCCAGGTACAATCAAACTACCACACTCTCCCTCCATCCTCAGACACCTTAGTTGTGAAAAACACTAACTGTGGCCTTTAGAGTATAACTGAGATCCTATTCTAGAAGAGAATTTGGTGGGCTGGGGAGATGGCTCGGAAGTGAAGAACCCTTGCTGCTCTTCTAGAGAATCAGCACCCACACCAGGAGGCTCAACTTCATGCAGCCTCAGCTCCACAGGATCAGATGCCTTCTTCTGACCTCTGAGGCTACCTGCATTCATGTACACATACGTTTGCACACACGTGTGCGTGCACAGGCCCACACACTTAAATTTCTAAGATAAATTTAAAAGAGCCACAGAAGTTGTTTTACAGTGGGTAAATAAAAATCCTATATCTTTATGATGTACATTGTGTCTTGAAACAGGCACGCATTGCTGAATGACTAACTGAGCTAATCAACACAACCATTACTCATATACTGTTTATGATAAGAACACTTAAAATCTCTCCGACGATTTTCAAGTACACAAGGCCCCTTATAAACTAGTCTCTGTGTTGTGCAGTTCACGCCACGCACATGTTTTTCCATCTCCCCTGTGGAGCGGAGTTTGACAAATTGGAGCAGAACTCCATTTGCATTTTCCTTTCATCTAACACGCTCCCTGTGGGGATCTTCCTCCAAGATTCATGAACGTTGACCTGAGGCGACAGATGTGCACAGTTTCTCGCTATTTGAAATAGAAAAGAAATCCCAGGATAACCTACATAGGACTCACTTGGAGCCTGGCTGAAGGTACACTTCCAGAGTGAAATACCATCTAGCCCAACGATGGGACGTGTCAACGGGAAAGAAAAAGGGGCAGAGGTGAGAACAAGCATACCTCAAGTGTGAAACCTGGTTTCTCAGTATCAGTCTCCACCGAGGAGAGCCAGAGCCCCTTGAAGAAGTGGTGGTTCAGATCTGCGGTGGGGGAAGAGTAAGCTGAGCCTGGCTGGAATCTGTTACACAGAACATAAACCAGGGTAGGGAGGTCAAAAGATTTCGGGGACAACTAAAAGGGCCTTCCTTCCGCTAGGCAAGTCAGACGTCATGTTGAGCCTCCAAAAATAAATAAATACAAACAAATACAAATTGTAATGGATTGCAACACATTGAATTAATAAAAAACAAAGCAAAAAAAATCCATTATGCCCATGGTGATATTATTAGAAATGTAAGAAGAAGCAAGAGAAAGAAACATTTAGGAGGAAGAAAAGGCTCCTTTTTTTTTTTTTTTTTTGAATTGAAAATATGGAGACCATGATGGAACTGAAAGGCGCTATCTGGCAATCACAAATTGACTCTGTACATTTGACTCATTAGGATAATACGTGCAGCCATTTTCTGTAGCACCTCCCAGATCCGCCTGTGATCGAAGACGGGCTCTGCGGTGAAAAGCCATGGATCCCTGACATGTGTTTTCCTCTTTCTCCCAGGGCTAACACCCGCCACCTACACATCTGTGTGAGTCAGATGCCGTTCACTCCTTCCACGCGTGACTGTGTGCCTGCAGCTCACTGGCACTGCCCACTAAACGAGGCCTCGGGAGTAAGAATCAAATGTCTTCCTGAGAGCCAACACTATAATATATATTGTAGAAGAAAGCTGACGTTCCTAATACAAACATTATGCTCACATCTTGTGAAAACAGGAGAAATCTGTTGGCCTGTTCCCGTAGATGTGGTCTTCTGACTCCCATCACCCATCAAAAGCATTGGCAGCCTAGTGAAAGCCAAGCCTCTGTGATCTTGAAGAGATAGAGCAGAAGACCAAAGCCCAGAACAACTTTGGTTCAACTCTAGCTAGGGCTTTATAGGAGGCAGGAAAGGGGGCGAGCCCTTTTCTACCATCATTCTACCATCATATAAAGTTATCGCTGATACCCTCATGCCAAAGGACAGGTTGGTCAGAGAAGAGTATAGCCAATTTATTTGGTCACAGTTTTATATGATGGGGACATCTTCAGACTGAGAACCTAGAGACTCGGGTAGAACAGTCCATTTGCAGGAAGAAGCAGGGACAGCCATGTAGAACTGTGATTGGCTAAAAGGGGTCTGGCTTACCCCTACCAGACTGAACAGGAAACCT